CCACCTCCCTGACGCGTTCTTCGTAGGCCCTTCTCTTCTGCTGTTCGTGCTTGGCATAGGTGGACGCGGGAGTTGAGGAAGTGTTCGAGCGCGCATGAGGGTTAAAAAATCCGAACATCACAGAACGTGCGCTCAAAACGACTTCCCCAGACACCGGATGCCGCCACATCAAGACGAGCACCATCTTCCAAGTTGGCAGAGCGACACCGGAGCCTTTTACCCTCCAAGGGCTGCAGAGGAGGTTCTATCTTCACATCCGTTGCCACTTCACGCAGTAGGTCGGCTGTCAGGTCGCGGATCGTGTTATGGCGAAGAGCCGGGTATCCACCAGTTGGGCACGAAAGAGCATGGCTGGTGACGCCTTGCCACACGCACAAGTGGATGGCAGGCGGGGAGGGACCCAGCCGAACCGCAGACAGAGTGCATCTCTGAAGGCGCCTTTGTGGAGGACAAACCCGAACTGCTTCAGGGGCCGGCAAGTGAGCCAGTTGGACGCTCCTTTCTCGGCCGCCATCCCCAGGGTTCGCTTGGTGGGCGCATCACATGTGGCCAGGAGCTGACTGGCTCGGTCTCGAGCGGCTCTCCTGGTTGCTGCTGCTGCAGTTAGCTTTGCAGCATGGATGGTGGTGGGCACTTCGTCCATGTTGGTGTCTTGGTCCAGTATCCGGCTCACGAGGATGTTGGTGACAGCGACAGACATATTGTATTGGTCCGTCAAAGACCTCGGGCCAATGAGACCAAGACCACCTTCTCGACACGGGAGGGACAGTATGGCGCGCTCTTCGTCACCAGGTGCGGGGCGACCGGTTAGAGCAGGGGTGAACCGCTGTCGGATGGAGTGCTCCAGCGGGTCTAGCAGTCCGCTGATGCCTGGGACCGTCCAGGCCACAAACGACCACTTGTGGCGGAGGCCAAGATTAAAAGCAGCGCATGCCGCTTGTGGCTGAGTGGTGGCGGTCCTTTGGTGGTGGTGGTGGTCCTTTTTTCTTCTCCTCCCCTTCTCCCTTCCTTGCCGTGGTTGGCTAACACCCTCTCTCTTTGTATTGGCCGGTGTTCTCACTGAGCTATGAGATGCTGTAATAAATAAATAAATAAATAATAAATAAATAAGTCAGCCAGTCGTCCAACCTCTAGCGCCCATGCCTCTACCTTCTCTGTGAAATATTGCAAGGCCCGCTGACAGGCATGACCACTCGAGGTCAATTGGGACGCAACCTTCCCCTCCCCCTGGCCCACAGTGCTTCTGGCGCATGCCGACCGCTTCTAGCCAGCTGCCGACTCTGGAATGGCCTGCCCGACTGTATGAAGTCCATAGTATCTGTCCGTGAATTCAAACGCATGCTACGCGTATTTTACTTCGATTAAATGTAATGGCTTTCGTAACCTGCTGATGAGGCTCGATAGAATCATGCTACGATGACCCGACTTGTAAATTTGAGATCCATTTTTTCTGCTCGTCTTGACCCTGCCTCCCCTCATTGCTACTTCCATTTTCGTATTTTATTTTCATTTATTTTTCTCTTCATTTCTGACTCTTCTTACCGGTTGTCATCGCTTTCATAATATTGGGCAGAAATGCCCGTTTGCCATGCGATGTAAAATAAATAAACGACAACAACAACAACAACAACAATAACAGCAACAACAACAACAACAACAACAACATATTGCTTGCAGAATTCGGGAGACCCAAGTACCGCACCGAGATGCCTCAAGTGGGACAAGCCCTTTTCTATCACAAATAACCAAACTCTATTGGCTTGGGTGCGAATTCGTACCCAATTTGCAGTAATAGGTTTTTTTTCATTTGACCCGACGAGACCACACGACGCTTGCAGATCACAGCACGAACAGTTCACCAGCCTCACTCCACGGAAGCCAGTAGTAGTACTCCTAACAACAAAACTTTGCCTAAAAATTATTCTAGTATTAATACTGTAAAATGATGTGTACACGGAAAGTTGGGTGTGGTCCTCGAACCCGGTCCTCGAAAGAGTGCTCAATGCACCGGGCCGCGGGGTGCAGAGCTTCATACAAAAAGAATAGAATAGGACACGGAGCTTGGGTTGGCTGTGACTCAGAGTTTCACGCCTGTGGCGATCATCAGACAGCAATGATTACAAAAACGTGTTGTATAGTGTACTTGTACATAGCAGTACTAAGCTCTGTCCCTGACATTGAGCACTCTCTGCAGCTCGGGGATCAACGGAATTCTTTATGTACTTGTACATAATTATAGTGCTGACGATTAAGTGTTCGCATTGGAGGTTGTGGAAAAGCAAAGAAGCCTTCTTTCATGTGTTTCAAGTGTCGGTACAGCAGCAGAAGAACAGTCAAAGTAACGTTGAAGTGGAGTTTGCGGTTTTTGTGGGAAATATGGGGTAAGTTACCTTACTGCACTTTAAACAAAAACAAAAAGACAAAACAAAAAAGGATTTTGCGAAGTAAAACAAAGTTTAAAAAATAAACACACAACGAAGAGAAAACGGGTTGAGAAATCTGACTTTGAAAGTCCGATGCAGAGTGTGATAATTCTGGAGAAAGCAGCATCCAGAGTTAGGCCTATCATTACATTAGTTGGAAGCAGGGAGTAGTAAATAGTACTACTACCTGGTTGGAGGTTTGCCATTCACTGATTGATTTTCAGCATCAAATCTGGGGCCAATTTTGCTCCCTCCCCCCCCCCCCAAAAAACCCGTATCGCGGATCAAAAACTTGAGTGCGTGTACTTTTGTGTGGGGAAAGTTGTGCCACCCCCACCCCACCCCCCCCCCCCCCCCTTGATCACTATCATTGCTACGCCTCTGATACTGTTGAGTCAAAATATGCAACATGTCAATTCTGAGCACAAAACTGACTGATGTGATACTGACATTCAACGACCTGATGCTTAGCTGCATCACGTCTTGAATGGCCAAACCAACAGTCTTCCAACTTGGAAGGTTCTAAGTTATGAAGTAACGTAAGAAAGGGGACGGTGAGCGCACTGTAGACGAAAACAAGCTAAACATCACAGCGAACTAAGAATGTTAGCTATGACAAGATGATGACGAAGGACCACGGCACAGGACGGCCACGGCCCACTTCGAGAACGCGAAACACCGACCACCCAACTTGGGAGGCTCATGTTATCGAGATAAGCAAAAGAGGGTTTGACTCAACGGTATCCTGCTTATAATCGTAAGTGATGGACAAAACGGATAACTTGTAAACTTATGGTCCTCTCTTTTTAATTTTAATCTTTGGCTCTCCACCCGAGTATGCCATGAAAAGAAAAAGTTATTGTTCCAGTACAATCATCCTTCTCCCAGTAACGTCTGTTCTTCTTTTCTCTCTGCCTCCTCCTAACCCTAGCTGTTTTCTCTTTCCCTCCTTCACATGTCCTGTCTCTCCTCCTAATATTTCGTATCATGTACCTGTCACTCCTTTCATCTGTTTCTTCTTCATTCTTTCTGGTGGGTTTCATGTCCCCACGACGTAGAGACCTCAGGTCGGCTGAGGGCAAAAAGCCTCATCATTACTATGCTCCCACCATGCAATTTTTGGCCTTTGCATGTGAGCTGTGGTCATTGTAAAAGAAATAATAATAAACACAGCTCGCATCTTCCCTGAACCTGTTAGACAGGAGCAGAGTCGACGCATCTGTCAACAGTGTCAAGCCAAGTTAGTCTATCTCCTGCAGCTTGGAGAGCGCTCTCCACGGAGAGATCCGCTGCCTTCAGGTCGTGCCGAATCGTATCTATCCACCGCAATGGCGGACGGCCACGGGGTTTTTTATGTCGTTTGTGTTGATTGATAGCTCCAGTGCTTGGAACGAGGCGGATTCCGGACCCTCTCGCACCACATGGCCAAACCACAGCAGCCTGCGTCGCCGACATGTGGCACTAACTGGAGATTGTTTTGTTTCTGTGTATAAGTTGTTATTGGTGATGCGTTGCGGGTAGACAATCTGCAGCAGTACGCGTAGCTTCCTCCGTTGCCATTTGTCCAGTTTGTCGTTCAGCAATTTGGACAGAGTCCACAATCCGCAATTGTATAGAAGGATCGGCATTATGAGGCAGTTAAACATACACAGTCGGGATTGAAAGGAATGCCGTCTCCAAGAAATCGAACCAAACGCCCTGTTTGCTTTTGAGATTCTCATGTCCACGTCTTCTGCAGAGCCCAATAGAGAACCCAGGAGTTTGATTGATCTCCATTCGTTGCTGTTTCTTGTAACATCAACATATTCAGTTTTCTGTGTATTGAGCTTGAGGTTGTCTTCGTTAAATATAGGTTCACACTCAGCAACAAGAGCCAAAAGAAATAAAACATTGGAAAACTCCAAGAAATTCCATGTAAAACAGAGGAAATTTAGTTCTCAACGGGCGATGCCTACTCCAGCACCATCCTGCGTCGACAGGCCAGTCAGGCGCCTTGTGGACCCGCGTAGCCGGAGGTCCACTGCATGGAACACTGCAAATTGGAATTCTTTGTTGCCATCTTGAATTCTTCAGAAGTATCTTCTCTATAAAAATAGCATTATTCAGCTAAACCCCTTCATTCAACAACAGTTACTGCTTCTCCGCTGCATGATCTGATGAGTTCCCCGTTATCTCTATGGAAATGTATTGCTCAGTGCATGCAGTGCAGTTTGGGCTAGATCGATAGATACCGTCATGTAGATCTACATCATACACGATCATACATGACACACTTCATGCACGTGCATAGTCTGTAGTGTAGACCTACACTGTACAGATCTGCTCCTACTTGACTGGTAGATCTACGTCGTTGAGAGTTGAGTCTTGATTGATTCATCGACTGACTGTGCATGTGGGTCAACGACACCGAGTCACCGACTCACCGTCGCGCACTGGTGCACTACTAGTAGTAGTACTACTAGTACTACTAGTACTGGTACTAGTGCCAGAAGTGGTGGTCCCGCTAGCGCTATAGCTGTTTCAACCATTCATATTTTCACGGACAGATCTTTTTATCGTGCCTTTAGTAGGCTTTACTTCTTTTCAGTTTTGTCCTAGGTAGATCTACACGTATCATTCATCGTGGGCGAGTTCAGGATCTAGGTACTAGGTGAGCCTATCCGAGTGGAATCGGAACGAGTCGCCACCGCTGCGTGTAGCCTTGTGCGCAATACCGTCTAGGAACGGACATAGGGTAACACGAACAACAGTCACCAGAATGTAAACTAATAAAAATTATTATTTATAATATGAAATTCTTCAATGTGCTCGCGTGCGCGGTGCACCAAGGGGAACCTGGCAGCGGAAAGCCGAACAAGACGGAGTCGACCTGCAGCTAGCATCGAGTGTGCGAGGCATTACAGTGGTGTGAACTAGTCTAGTCCGTGATACTCGACAGCAGGCAGAAACAGTACGGTCACGCTACAAATGCTAGATTTTTACGTGTGTGTGTGACGGCCGAGATCCAGGATTGTGCTGTATGAGCCAAGTGGGCCAGTTTATTCGCCACCTCGAGACTCACAATGGACGATGACATTGCAGTAACGCACCATGCCTCAGCTGATAGCGCAGCGGCTGATAGCGCACCAGCTCCAGACAATGTTTTACCAATGCCGAAGATGGGCCCAGTAGCCGTCGTCTTGCCAGCATCCGGAATAGGAGAGCGATCCGGAAGGGAAATCCCCAAACAGGTATGTGTACATGAGTGTTCATGTCATGCATGATTACCACAGTATAGAGGTTATGCGATTACATCACCTGTTGAGTTGCTTTGGCAAAGTCACGGCGCAGAAATGCCCTAGCGACACACTGGCGACTCGCGCAGTACACATAACGCCCATAAGCGGTTCCATTGACTCACCCACAATGACATCATCATGACATCATTCAATTTTGTATAACCTCGATCAGTGCAGACAGTACATCTCCCCTAACCCAGGCAAATTGGGACCAAGCACTACCCGTAGGTAGGAATTGCCCGTGATTTACAACATGCATCATAAACGTTAGCGTGCAAGTAAACATTTGTTGCCAATCAATAGGTTTTTGGGGCTCGTTTTCTTTGAAAAATCCATCTCTGTGACTCTAGGGGGGGTCAGAAAGGTGCCCGGATTAGGGACGTTTGGATTACTACTACAGTCAAATATGCCGTTAGCGACCTCTGCTGTAGGCGACCATCTACCGTTAGCGACCGGTTTTCCGTGCACCGACGGTTTCACATACAAACTGATCTGTCCAGAGCGACCATCTGCTGTGCGCGACCAGCGACCGCGATTTCAGGCACGGTGGCTGCATTCAAATCTGCTGTAAGCGACCGCGACCCAGGTTCAGTCAGGTGCGAAACTGTACTCGCCAGTGCGCTGTCAACTGCAAAGTGTGAAAATGCGCTGTCTTGCAAGTGCGATCGACTGGCGCCTGGCCTGTACTGAGGCTGTGCTGTAGCTCTCAAGTCCAGGCAGTGCCGATCTACTGCCGTGTCGCACGCGCGTACTATACGGGTATGGTCGTCGTTGAATATCCAATAAAATGATATTAAAAATCACATTATTCTCGTCGATTTGAGTACATGGAAGTATATACCCGGTATACTGGATTTACCATACATCTGCCGTAAGAGACAATCTGCGGTAAGCGACCGCTTTTTCTTGCACCAAGGGGCGGTCGCTTACGACAGATTTGACTGTAGTACCCTGTACTGGCAGTTAGACAAGGCGTAAAGATACCGGTTCTGTTGTTTATATTAACCTATCCAAGTTGAACACTAGGGCAAAATATACACGAGCGCTGTGAAGCACCGCAGTGAAGTATCTTGGCAATCGACACAAGGCCAAGGCATTCTATGCTATGATTAGAGCATGTGTGTGTGTGTGTGTGTGTGTGTGTGTGTGCGTGCGTCTGTGTATGTGTGTGTGTGGCTATGCTTTGTTCCGCCAGTTCGTGGAGGTGCACGACTGTCCACTTGTTTGTCACACCATCTCAGCCTTTCACAGGTACGACGCATACAGTTTGCTGTGTGATGAGCATCAGACTTTATAACCTTCTCCCCAAAGTTGTGTATATGTGGCCCCTGCACCGCTTGTTTCCTCTCCTATGCCCCCCCCCCCCCCCCCCGGGTATCTCCGTAGGGATGTGCCTAAGTGTACTGTCGGCGGGTGTCGTGCAATGTTATCGCATGAGCTGATTGTTTAGTAACTGGTGGTGTTAGTGGACATTATAGCATAACTTGTAGTTACTTGGTCTTTTTCTTTATTACAAGCGGATCTCCTCTTAAAAAAAGTTAATAAAATGGAATTTCCATTGGCACTGTAGCAAATACATGTATGTTGTAGACTTGACATTGTGTACAGAAGTGCACCTTTGCCACATGATGTCATGCACCTTTGCCACATGATGTCATACACCTTTTCCACATGATGTCATACACCTTTGCCACATGATGTCATGCACCTTTGCCACATGATGTCATACATGCACAGCATCGATACACCACAGAGTGTAGAGTGACGATTTTCACCAGTACTTTCATTATCTCATAACAAACTAACGTTACTTGCGATGGTGATTGCATCGTCCAAGTCATAAAATACTGACACAAAGGCATACATAACGCATGCATACGTACCAGTCGATGAGCGGTACAACAGAAGTTTTTGAAAAATAGAATGCCAATACCAAAAAAAAAAAAAAAAGTAGTATATATAAGGTATTCTGCACGGTACGGGCATGCGCATACACACACACACATACATGTATGCCCTCCTCAGCGGTAAACATGCGTTGGTAGCTACAAAGTTGGTCCGGTAATAACCTGACCAATCGGACCGGTTCCGGCGGGCCTGAGAACAGCCCTGAGCAGTATCAGCTGAATCACCATGTAGCCACTAACGAACAAGTAGATCAAGAATGCAGTGAACAAGTAGATCAAGAATGCAGTGATCAACAAGTAGATCAAGAATGCAGTGATCAACAAGGAATTACGGTCTACGTGTCCATTCAGCTGCTGTTGCTCTGCTGCTCTAAACTTATTGTTGCCCCGTCGCCTGGAAACAATTTGAACATTGATGCCAATGTATATGCTCTTTCGTATCGTGCGTGTACGTGCGCATGTGTGCGTAAGTGTTTGTGTGCATATGTGTGTGTGTGTGTGTGTGTGTGTGTGTGTGTGTGTGTGTGTGTGTCTGTGCATGCCCGTACCGTGCAGAATACCTTATATAGAGTGCATCGTGGTGACGGTCAGACGGGAGTGGAAAGACTTTCTTCTCAAGGTGTGTGTACTCTGTGTACTCTGTACTCATGTATAGCATACCCACTGGCCGCAGTGTGACTCTAGTGTGGTCTCCATTTGCAGCGCGCACAGCAGTGACTAGGCTGGGAACGAGGGTCTGTTGGACCCACTGGCATTTGTCTATGATCTGCCCTGTGTCTCTTTATTCATAGAGAGTGTTGTGAATACGTCTGTCTTTGTGTTTGTCTGTGTGTTGGTTGTGCCATACTGCTAGCGCATAACACGGTACGGTTTCCACAAGGTGATGGTGGTGGAGGGAGATGAGCGAAGGTAAGTGAACATCACAATCCCGGGGAGGGGAGGGAAGGGGGAGAGGAAAGGGGGTGGGGTAATGCCCCCCCCCCCCCCCACTCCCCTCCCCTTCGCCCCTGCCTGTCTGTCAACATGTCAACATTTCTTGCTTGATCAGTGTTTCTCCTAGCGTACGTACACTAACACTGCTAGTAATCGTGGTCATATGGACAGAATGATCTTATCTTAAAATCACCCCGTGCCCCATGAGACTGGTCTGGTCTTTCGTGCGTGGAAACAGTCCAGGAAGAAAGGCCTCTGAGAATTGTTGAGGCAGTGAAATTGTATAGTACAGGGTCGCACCGCCACGTGTCATGCAGCTGTTGGCTATTCTCGATTTGCCAGTGTGGGTGCGTGCGTGCGCGAGCGCACACGCATGTGTGTGATATGTGTGTTTGTGTGGGTATGGATGTCGGTGTGGGTGTGGGTGCGTGCGTGCATGGGCGTGTGTTAGGGGTGAAACGAGTATCTATTTTGACCAACCGATCACTCATTCATAATATTTGATCGAGTATCCGATTATTTCGAGTATTTTATCAAAATTCAAAAGCGCTAGATTTGTGAGTTCTCGACCAATCCGGAAGAAATTATCTGTGAGCATAGAACAAAAGTCGCCAACGTCTTGTACAGAGTGTAGAGTAACGATTTTCACCAGTACTTTCATTATTTCATAACAAACTAACGTTACTTGCGATGGTGATTGCATCGTCCAAGTCATAAAATACTGACACAAAGGCATACATAACGCATGCATACGTACCAGTCGATGAGCGGTACAACAGAAGTTTTTGAAAAATAGAATGCCAATACCAAAAAAAAACGATCGAGTGCAAAATTTCGAATACTCGCTCGTTTGAAATTTTCGAACGAATACTCGAATATTCGAACTAATCGTTTCACCCCTAGCGTGTGTGTAAAGTGCATTCACCTGTGGGCATGTGTGTGTGTGTATGACTGTCACCATGCAGAAAAGGTTTTTTATTTTGTTTATGGTACTGTACAAGCAGAAATATTCGTCTGGAATTTAATTTCGTCTTTTTCGTCCAAGGAGCGGTGGGACTAAATTAAATGCCGGACGAATGTCGATTTGTCCAGCTTTTCAATACACTCTTATGATCCATGGACGAAATTTGAAACCGGACGAACTCCCTCTCTTTGGAGTTGGACGAAGTTATTGACCAACGAAATTTTCTGCTTATACAGTAATTGTATTGTTGCTGTCTTGCTTGCCTGCAGTCGCCACTATTCCATTCGTAATGGTGTTGCAACGCTCACTGACCCAGAGCTGATACACATGGAGTTTGAAGTGGTGAGTTGTTGCTGGTATGGGTGTGTGTGTGTGTGTGGGTGCGTACGTGTGTGCGTGTGTATATCCTTGCCGTCGCTGCTTGGAGTTTCATGCTGTAATTGTCAGTAGGAATGTGTTTCAGCTGAGGAGCGGCTTACGTCTTCGTTGTCTCTAAGGAAAACTCATGGATGCATGGATGCAGTGAATGGGATGCATGGATGCAGTGAGTGGGATTTTCGGTCTTTGACCACTTGCTGGTGAGCTGATCTACTCACCTTCCACCGCTTTAGGAGCTGCATCTGCGCCTTGATCCTTGAAGGGTGGTGGCGTTCCTACGGATGCGGAAAGCCCGGCTTCCAGCCGAGTCTCACGCGAACCGTGAAATCAATTATTAAGACTTAGTCCGTTATCTCTCTACATTCATGTCTGCGGGTTTGAACCGCAGTTTGATCTATCTGCCCTCTCCGCAACCATCATCTTCACCTCTGTTTCGTTTTCCAGGTGGTGGTTCACGACGCCGTGCGTCCCTTTGTGTGTGAGTCGGTACTATGTGAAGTGATTGCAAAGGCTCAGCATGGTGGTGCTGCTGGCGTTGTGGTGCCCTGTGCTTCCACCATTGTGCTGATCAATGATGATAACCTACTGGAGGAAACACTGGTCAGGTGAGCCAATACTGCTGCTCCCACTGCTGATGCTGCTGCTGTTGCTGCTGATGCTGCCACTGCTATTGCTGCTGCTGTTGTTGCAGCTTCTGTTGCTGCTGATGCTGCTGCTGCTGCTGCTTCTGATGGTGCTGCTGCTGCTGGTGCTGCTGGTGCTGGTGCTGCTGCTGGTGCTGGTGCTGCTGCTGTTGTTGCTGCTGCTCCTGTTTCTGCTGCTGCTGCTGCTGTTGCTACTACTTCTGCTGCAGATGTTTCTTTTCTAACGTACAGTGGAAGCTGAGAGAAAAATAATCAGCCGTGTATCTAGTCCGAACTGTCCTCATTTAAAAAGTTTCCTCAGTCTGAAGTTTGTTCTCTGTAAATGTGTGCGTGTATGTGTTAATGTGTGTGCACGTGTGGATGTGTGTGTATTATGTGGCTGTGTTTGTTTTGCGTGCGTCTCCACCCATTGCCCCGCCAGGTCAAAATGTCGCAATAGTGAAATGCCTCAAGCGTTCCGTCTGAAGCAGTTCCACTCAGCATATCAACAGGTAAACGGTATAGACAACACTCACTACATGTACACATGTACACATGTACAGTTGTATGTTGCTTATCCGGCGGGCAGTCATCCGTCATGTTGCTTATCCCACAGCACACTCACGGCGCATACGCTCTGTATTTACACATCCACTTCAAGTAATGTGGACTGGGAGCATCATGAACATTGCCTTTGTGCAACTTTGCACCAAAATCAACCTATAAGGATGAGAACAACGACTGTCTCCGGGTAATACTAGAGTTTCGCTCACTGAAATCCGATCCGAAGTGCAAAACTGACGCCCTGGACCAGTTCTGACTGCATCACTATACATGGTATTGGATAAACATTGTTCTGTTGAAGACATGTTGTTGGTTGCCAGCATGTTACAAGGCGGACAACCAGCAATACTGTACAGTACAACCTGGTTTTAAAAGCGACCACCCCACCACCCCACCACCCCACCACCCCACCACCCCACCACCCCACCACCCCACCACCCCACCACCCCACCACCCCACGTTGCAAGCGACCACCCCACGGTGCAAGCGACCACCCCACGGTGCAAGCGCCCACCCCACGGTGCAAGCGCCCACCCCACGGTGCAAGCAAAAGCGGTCGTTAAAGCCAGGTGCTCTTTAGAACCAGGTCCCACCGTGTCTGTGTAGAACTGTCGCCGGTGCGTGGAAAAACGGTCGTTAAGAGCAGGTGGTCGTTAAACCCAGAGGTCGCTTACACCAGTTAAACCCAGAGGTAGCTTACACCAGTTAAACCCAGAGGTTGCTTACACCAGTTAAACCCAGAGGTCGCTTACACCAGTTAAACCCAGAGGTCGCTTACACCAGTTGAACCCAGAGGTCGCTTACACCAGTTGAACCCAGAGGTCGCTTACACCAGTTAATATGCTGTACTTGTATATGTGTAAGTCCAGCTGCATTCGTGCCACTTCCAGGAGGGCATCAAGGGTCGTGCAAGTTGAGGGCGGCAAGTGTGCACTTTGGGCTTGCATTTCACCGAGCACAACTGTAGTAACAGACTCATCACAATAGAAAATAAAAAAATAAAAAACACACACAGGTAGAATTATGCTCTACAGTCCTATTCATGTGTGAACACAAGCTGGTAAAGTAGCTTCAGTCATCCAGTATCCGGCGGTCCGGAGGTCGTGAGGGTCCTGAGGGTGCCGGATAACTGTCACTCAAAACTGTAGTCTTCTGTTGTGACCAGCGTTGCGGTGGTGCAGTATTGCAGTGGTGCAGTATTGCAGTGGTGCGGTGGTGCAGTATTGCAGTGGTGCAGTGGTGCTAGATGGCATACGACCCACAGTGCATGTTTGGCAATCTGGACTTGCACTGAGCACAGGTGTACCCTCGTTAGTACATGTACGACATCCGCTACAAGACAAGCCTCCGATTAGTAGACGTCGATTCCAAAAAATCCCCCGACGCCTGAAACACGTACATCCAAGTCCGGATAGTAGATAATACTGGTTATTCCCGTAGCTATGCAAAAGACGTTACTTCAGTAACGTCTGACGCTAGCCAGGGTCCACACAGCTTTAATTCCGTGTTTGTTTGTTGGTGCCGTCGGCATGCCTGGCGCTATCCCGTACCTGTCCCGTACCGTACCATCAAAGACAGCTGGCCACAGTATTCAAATACTAGTAGGGCTTTCAAATGCAAGATCATAACGTGCAGCAACTGAATATCATGTATGCGAAGTGTATCGGAGAATGCATGCAGGGCGATAGTGCGGGTTCGATGTCTTTAAAAAAATAGGAGAAATGAAAAATGTGTAGCATCCCTATGCTTTTTTGGCCTAGGTCATCAAAGTGGTAGACGGTGTCGTATTACCCTCGAATGTAAAGAGAAAGTTTATTAGTTTATTTATTTCGCTCAGGGCTATGCTTTTTTGGCTAGCTCATCATGCATGTTATTCGAACAGATGGAAACCTTTTGCAAGCATAGCGTGGGGCCCTGAGCTTCAAGCTCTCTCGTTAGACCTGTATGCTGTTATGATGCTGCGGTCTGTTGTAGCCCTCGCTTCATTGTTTCACTTGTGTATGCATGTCTGTGTATGCTTCTAGGCTAGTGATGACACTATGCTACATGGCACGGAGTGTCTGCAGATATATCGCCATGGCAACCCAGAAGACCGCATCGCTCTGGTAACCGCAGCGCCCGGCTTGCACTGGAAGGTGAGGCGCTGTGCGGTGATGTCATGCGCACAGTCATAATATTACGACTCTCCACCCCTCAAGCTTGACATGTTCTTTACTGTACAGGCAGAACATTTCGTCGGTCGATAATTCCGTCCAACTTAATCCGGTTGAAAGTTCCGTCCGTGGATCACAAGACTGTATTGAAAAGCTGGACAAATCGACATTAGTCCGGCATTTAATTCAATCCGAAAGCTCCTTGGATGAAAAAGACGAAATTAAATTCAAGACTAATATTTCCGCGTGTACAGTACAGTATTCGGATTCGCGAACAGGCAAATGTGTCCAGGAATGACAGGAATGCTGATGCAAGGTAAACGGCGAGAATACACAATTGAGCGGTTTTGCATTTCGATACGAACATGCTATGTGTACTTCAGTGGTCACATCTGAAAGACCATACAAACATCAGTGAGTGCATTCGGTTACGCCCTTGAATTGATTCATGAGTGGAATCTCGCCGTTCGATTTCCTGTCATGAGCCCTGGAATCGATTCGGAATCCATTCACCTTATTCACATGGGCGATGTAAATAGCGCGAATCGATTCATGAAACATTTTGCGAGCATAATTGAACGCACTCACGGAGTGCGGATTCGGAAAAGGTAGGACATGACACTCATTGCAGTATTGTCTGGCGCCTAAGGACAGGGACTGAACAGAGATGATAGACGCTATGAATAGAACGAAGGCCACAGACATCACCACGCAACTAAGTTACGTTTTCGAAATGTTTGTGTAATAACAATAATATAATTATTATAACATGGAAAAATGTGGGCACAAGTTATGCGATCGAGTCCACCAACTAAACCAGATTTTCAACATTCAAATGTGCACAATCTAGCACAAACCTGACAAAGAGTGCTGAGACATTCCACGGCATGAAAGTGAGCTTGAGCAATGCTCAATAGCGCTAACCAACGGCCTTCCAACTTGGCAGGTTCATGGATATTAGTGCTAATTCCAAAGAGGGGAAGGTAAGTGCCATGGAGCCGAGCACAAGCTACATTCCAAGGCTTCATGGAATGCTGGACTGGTATGATGACTGGTACGATGTATGATAATCTGTCCGGTCAATACAGGATTCCGCCGCTTGGTACAGGGTTACAGGGTTGGGCAAACACAGGCTTACTGTATGACTGCAGCTACACTGTACATGTACACTGTGTTCTAGAATACACTGTACATGTACATGTACAGTGTATTCTAGAATTCTTCCTTTTGCCATCTATCGTCTCTCTGTACAGGTCACGTATGCTGGGGACTTTGATCGAGTCAGCGCCCTCTTGAGCAACCGCACCATTAACAACAGCAGCAGCAAAGGCAGCAGCAGCAACAGCAGTAGCAGCAGTGACGGCACAACTCTTGTATGAGTGATAAAGCCAAACAATGGTCTTCCCACTGGCTTGCAGTAGCACTCTGCACTGTCAGTACTGCTGCATGCTGAGTTCGTGCCTGGATACGGACTGGCATTGGCCAAACTTGCATCCCCGGAGACAGATTTTGGCACGAAAAAGCGTGCCCCGGAACCTCTCTATTGATGGATTAACGATTCTGTTGTACTGCTACAGCGAATGTGAACTTTTAGTTCCTTCAAGTCGTGCGTATCAGTGAAGTGTGCTGGCTGATAGGTTGTACTTGTAACATGCTGCATGGATGAGGAATGACTGCAGGATTCTAACTTGCACCTGTTCGTGTTTGTAGATCTCACACATTGCATTGTTACTTTTAACTTCGTTTTAACAAAGTATCGATTTTAAAACCACTCTGGGTCTACAAAAGAATAATTTTTTCAAAGAGACCGGGTAGCCAATGACTTGCCCACCATGTACCAACTTGTTGCATTGTCGTCATAATATATATTTATCTGGGAAGTGATGGGTGGAATTTACTCACCCAGGTTGTCCCATGCTGTCAGTTTCCGTATAATTAAACTAAATCAGCTATAGGCTTCTGTCTTGCAAAACCCTCTCTCCGCTTGGCCGTACTATGCTCTGCCACAATCCGATTCTATAGTTTCCTTGTGCCAACTTTGGTTGGAGCTGCTGGTTCATCCCTCAATGAGAAAGTCTGGAATAAGTGAAGTATTAAACAATGAATTTTGATCAGTGCAGTGTGGCTTATGTTCAGTGTAGTGTAGTGTAGCTCATACATAGATTGACACACATACAAAGATCACACAGCAATGAAGCAAACAAATCTCATTCCGCCGTTACTCGGAGTTGCATGGAAACACTCATCAGAGAGCATATGATTGACACACACACACACACACACACACACACACACACACACACACACACACACACACACACACACACACACACACACACACCTCAGACATGCCCATCGTGGAAGCGATGATAGCGAACAGCTATGTTAGACATAGCAACTTGTGCTGGGATTAGACCATTCAACAGCTTGCAAGGCTGACGAATTGACCGCCACACACACACATACACATACACACACACACACTCATGCATGCACACACATGCACACACACAAGCACACACACACGCACGAGAAATGGTTCATACTCCATCCAGCAGAGTACCAAAACAATGTAAGAAATTCATCAAAAAAATCATCAAAAAAATTCATCAAAATACTGTGCAACACGAAGAAAACACGTGTTCACAAAACTCCAAACAGCTTCCAGTGGAAACTTCACAGCAGCAGTGAGCGACACACACACACAGACACACACACATACACAGACACACACATGAAGAGAGAGGGGGGGGGGGGGGGGGGGTAGGAGGGAGAAAGAGATAGAGAGAGAAAGAGATAGGGAGATAGAAAAAATCACAAAACTGGTGATAGCAGCAGAGCGGCTGACATAAAGTACAAAGAACACAATAGCCAAATCAGCTTGATAATCACACTGATGTCAACAGGCTACCCAGGCAGCATGCAGGGTACCGTGACACACTGCTGATCACACTGACATGGTGACATACCAACAGTTCCTTCATTACATCATCCATGACGTCATCAGACTATTCTCCCTGAGTGCAGCCATACCTATACGGTACGCAGCAGCAGCTTCAGGCCAAGGGCGGTGGTTCTACGTAGATCTAAGTGAGGCACTACTAGCACCGACTTTCTTTGGCATCTTGCGTGTTGCGCCGTCCGTCAACTCTTTCTCCTTGTAGTAATGAGGAGCGACTTCCAACAGCCATGCCGGGTCAATCTCGATAATCTGCATGATGGAGAGAGAGAGAGAGAGAGAGAGAGAGAGAGAGAGAGAGAGAGAGAGAGAGAGAGAGAACAAGGGAGAGACAAAGAATGAGTACTATAAAACAGGGCAACACACAATGTCAGTGCTGTGCTCATTCACATACACCTACACATGTTGCAACTACCCAGTTCAGGTGAAAGGAGAGGAAGGCAGCCTAAACAGGTAAACCGATTCAGACGTTCAAAGCGCCACTACAATCGCTCGCAAACCAGTACGAGTTAGGCGAGTTGTTAGACCATACTGCGGGGACAAGATCAACAAAACTAGGAGGCACAAATGCACAAGGAAGCAGCAATGGCATTGTACCAACAGCTTGGAGAACTCTACGGAGAAGAAATAGTCCGCTGACACGTGTGTCTACACTTTACCTGTCTCATGTACTCCTTGGTGGTGAAGACGAGCTCGTGATAGATAAGCCAGCGGGGCGTCTCCTGAAACAGGCTAGAGTTGGGGTGAATGTGAACAGTCTGCACAGCAGCAAACACAAAGGCATCACGACAAATACGTCAAGTACATGTACACACATTGTGAGCCGCTCGTAGCATCGAGTTCACAAGAGGGTACGACAAGTGCATTGCGCATGTGTTCATAGTTGCCAATGATGTCATCATGATGTCATACCTGCGGATGCTTGACCGTCTTGTAATCACCACCCTTGGACAGACGTGACGTGTGGTAGAAGAAGCCAGCTGTCACCGCCTGTACACGAACACACACACACACACACACACACACACACATACACACGCACACACACACACACACACACATACACACACACACACACACACAAAAGGCATAAAATGCACATACATCACTACTGTCTGGAACGATAAGACACCGACAGTACATGTTGCAGATATCAGATGATAGGACGAACAGTACACCTAAACAGCCGATTCTGAAACTTTTAATGTAATGCCACAAATTATAGCCGGACTCATTCCTGTACAGGACTGATTCTCGTGATTCAAGTGATTCCGACAGACATGTTGTGTGTATGTATGTATGTACGCAGATTGAGTAT